ACAAGATTTCCGAGGTCTGACAACACGCCAGCCAAGTTCGTCAGGTCTCATAAGCGTGTGTCGGATCCTAAATACACATGACGGCGCGACCGTAGGAGACAAATACTCCGATCCACTTCCGGGTGACACTAGCGCCTTGCCCTTGTAGCCAACAGAGACACGCTCAATGCAGATCGAACTGTCCTCACTACACCAAAGGCCATCTGCTCCCTGTTGTTTAAACAGGTCCCAGGCAGCTGCCCAAAGCCGGAGAGACTTTTCAGAAGGGAACTCCAAATGATGCCCCATCCTCTCACTGCGAGTAGCGCGTCCTGCGGAGAACGCAGCTCCAAGCAAGACTCCGCGCAGACAAGTCAAGACGGACGTCGAAGCAGTCCCGAACTTCGTTTTCAAAGTAGCGGCAGTGCGGGTCAAACACTGTCTTGGAGACCGCCGCGCCCGAAGACTGCCGACGGCGGAGAATCTTGGCGAAAAGTTGCCGGGGCTCACGCGCGCCGCTTTCACGCCTGTCCACTTCACGCGGCGTCTGCTAAGCCTCTGAAAGCAGAGCCGACAGAACCAACACACGACCAGCCCGGTCACTGCACTGAGAGCACCACAAGCCAACGAGCCAGCCTGCGACGCAGCCGCCCGACAAATTCCCAAACAAATGCACAGCCCAAAAGGCTGCACAGCTCTGGAGAGAGAAACAGAAAGACCACACAAAGCAGACACAGAAGACGCGGAGTCTTATGCGCTCCCGCTGCAATTTGTCGCGAGTTTGTTCTTGGCGGTTCATTTTCATGTCTTCATCAAAAAAACATGGAAGACGAAAACTTCAGAATCTTCGCGAAATGTTTGCGGAAAGTTTACAAGTCTTGACCATGTTGGAACTTCATGCGTCTATCTTTTCGGAAAGATTCCGCGAAGATTTTTCAAAGATTTCGCGAACTTTTCGCCAAGATTTTTTTTTTTCTAAAGTGACAGAAGAGACGGGAAGCCGCTGGAGGTGTTCAAGCGGGGAAAGATGGCCGCCGCCGGCTTATGGTGACACTGCTCCCCCGCCTGCGTTTCCCCTGTCCTCCGCCCCGGTGTCCTACGCTTCAGGGGGCTCACACAACCGCGCCACGCCTGCACCCGGGGCGGCGCCGATGCCAGCGGCATGCGAGCGGTCCACAACGAACCAGCGCCGGGGCTGCCACCAACGACGAAACACAGAACAAACGAAAAGCAGCGCCAGGCGCTTCGGCGCCTGGTTTGGCCTTTCAAGCAAAGAGACAACGAAGACCAGCCCCGGCAACTTTTCGCAAAGATTTCGCGCACGTCTTTCACATCGTCGCGGCGGTCTCCAAACTGTCCCAGGAGTTTTCTGCTATCTCGTTGGGCGTTATTCTGAGGAGTGAGAAAATCAACCCGAGGTAGTGAATAGTTGTCACCGGGCCTTCCGAGCTGCGTTTCTCCTGTTATCCATACTGGAAGCCCAGAGTTAACCGCATCTGAAAACAAGTCGTCGCAGTCTCTCGCCGCAAAGGCGTCTACTCTTCCTGAACCTTCAACTACTACCGGTTCCAGTTGAGCTTGGTGCTCTAAAGGGTCACTTCGGACGCTTCGCTCTGTGTGAAGGTCTTCGAGAGGTGTGCAAAGGCGATCGGGGTCGTCCCGGCCGTCAGCACTCGGATAGACGTCGGCGCTCAGGCCCGCCGGTCTGTGGATGTTGGGATGGTGGCCTCGAATCGTCCTTGAACTTTGATCAGAACCTTGGTTCTGTAATGGCGAGTTCGGCGGATCAGGGAGGTCTTCAAACTCGCCGACCGGCTCCAGTCGATGATCTTGGCAAGAGCCCACAGCTGGCTCATATCCGAAATTTCGGAATGGCCCTTCGCCCGCATTTCTGGAATCCGGACTGTCGTTCCGAATAACCGAGTCGCACTGCCACACATTGCGGCAGTCAACACGTGCTCGAGAGGCAGAACCACTACTCTGTCCATGAGATTGTAGGGCGGGATCTGTTGCAGGCAGTTTCGGCGCTACAGGCAAGCTTTGAGCTCCAGTAGAGGGCCGAGCCTCAAATCGTGCAATAGCATCATCGAGGATGTCCTGTCTGCGCTGGAATTCCGCCATTTGGTCCGAAAATTGTTTTGAAAACTCGGAACGGATTTCCCTTCGTGCCTCTTCGAGAAGAATCGTCTTCCAGTCCTCCATTTGTAGTTCTGGCATCTGCGTCAGATCTCTACCTCCCTGATGTTGAGTGTGACTTTGGCCTGCACCTGCATTAGATGTGCGGTAATCTGCAGTACGGTTCGTCGCGATGTCGGAAGACCGAAAGCGAGGAGCTGGGGGAGCGTATTTTCGATTTCCAACGTCAAAAATAGGCGACCTCACCGGCTCCAGACTCGCCGGCTGATGGCCCGAGCGGACATCACACGCGGAGGCAGAAGATGCTGGATACACAATGCCTGAATCCGGAGGAGCGCTTGGTCGCACCTCCGTTCCCTGCGAAGTTAGCACTTCCATGTCCGTAAGGTCGTCACTATCACCAAACAAGCGCTGTCCGACTAAAGTATCTCCATGGCCCGTTTGATGTCGGAGTGGAGGTAGGTTTGTCGAAGTGCGCAAAACAGGAGTAAGAGCCGGAGACTCATCATCCCGCTCACTGATAGGAGAAAGGTTCGAAACAGGAGGCTGCGGGACAAACGGGGGCGGAGCTGCAGAGGAAAGATCAGCCTCAGGAGCACCACGCGGGTTCGGAGACTCGAAAAGTCCGCTATCCTGCAAGCCGGAAGGATCATCGGAGATACCCAGCCCTTCGAGATCAACCGGACTTCCATCAACTCGGACCCCCTGTAAGGTCAGGCTCGGGGTGAATGGGTCCCGTATCGGCCGGCCCGATGTTGTCGTCTCGTGAGTGGACATTCTTTAGGTCTACCTATAGGCTCTAATATAACGTAAAGTAGATACACTAGAGACAACAAAGCGAGGACGCAGATACTCGCACAAATGCAAACCTGGCGTGGCAGATAGTATTCTTAAGCAGAAACTATAAACCGGCAAATAAATCAGAAATAAACCAGATTGATAAATATAATCAACAAAGGGCGCAAACCTATATGCTGTGCCTCGAGATATCCGCTTGCCCGCCAAGACACCCGGATAAACTCTATTACACCAGAATGCACAAGGTATGTATTACACGGTCGACGGGGTGAGTTGGCTAGACTCACAACCAACGCACTTTATGTAATACAACGGTAAGTTTTAGGGTTTCTATAATGTAAGCACCACTATGCCAGCGCTACTATAACTACACTAATACCCAAATTATGGCACTAGTTGCCAGCATCGTTCTCCACCACTTGAACCAATTAAGAGCACACAGCTAAGACATCTAAAGTGGGGACGTGTCCCTAGTGGCAAAACTACCTAGAAAGGCGCGCATCTCGCGTCTTTTAAAATATGGATAATCCCGGTACAAATATTCGATGGTGACAAATGTAGCGCAAAGGCATCTCTAAAGGTTTCTCGTCGACAAATGTCGCAAATAGATGCACTTCCGGACTGTGGCTGGTCTGACCAATACACAATCAACACAAATGAGAAGGCAAACGCTATACGCGGATGACCTTGAGTACAATCCTGAATCTTGAGAGTCTTTGTGGCAAATCGGCCGTGAATCATGTGTGCTTGACAAAGAAAACAATGCCTATGAAAGACGGGTCAATTTGCCTTGATTTATGTAATTATGTAAACGTGAGGCCATTTATCTTAGATGACCCCTCCGCCATTCTTCTACTCACATAGCGTAGGATCCAAGTGCATCTCTTCACTCGTGTACTCCGTCTTATCCGAAAGATATTAAATGAGTCAAATGTCGATCGTTGAATCATGTTAACTTGTCGAGCGAATAGGTGAGAGATCAAATGCGATTTCCATATGCGATCAAACGAATGCTACTTAGTGGAGCGATCTCGAACCTCCTTTGTTCGATAAGATAGCGACTATTTGTATTGCCTTTTTTTCAGTAGGTCCTTCCTCAATAAAGATCCGGAGCTTCTGCCTCAGATCCTGAAAACATTTTGTTTATGTAGTGCTCTTTTGCACCCTTTTGGAGTGGGGCGATCTCTTCGCTCTCTCCTGAGCTATCTAGTCTGGCAGATCCGCACTCTCCGATCTCTAGGACGATCTCCTCTAGAGTGTGATCTTGATGCGGTCTGTCATAGATCTGGGTATGTCTCTCGTACGTGCTTGATATGGCCTTATCACGCCGTAAGATTAATTAGGTCCCGAAATAGATGGCGAAATCATACCTATTTCGAGTAAAGTGAAAGAATTTTGATTATTTATGATTGTCAGTATGTTGGCAAACCCCCCCCCTGTAATTCGCGAATTAGTCGTCTCTATCAAGATAGATTAGATTAATCGTGGGTTACCTATATCCCGCTGTAGTTCGGCCGGAGAGTCTGGGCCTTGAGGGACGATTCCAAACAATAGTCTGCTAAAGACTATGTTTGAAGAACTACCAGTGAATATATAGTCTCAGTAGCTACGTACCAGGCACCTACTACCACCTGCCTGCTTCCTTTACTTTCCTTCGATAGATTCTTCTCCTTTGCGTGGTATCTATTCAATTGACTCGAGGCGCGGCTTATTGATTAAGTTTAGGAATGTGCTCGCTTGAAAGAAAGACAGAGTCACTCAGTGAATCAATGAACGAAGCCACGGGCGATTCAATGGATCGCTCGACGCACGCGGGGAGGCATGCATGGGCCTGGTAGCCCTTGCGTAGTCACCTGTGTGAGGGGGAGCGCGTGTGCCCGCCAAAGTGCGGGCCAGGGCGCACACAGCCAGCCAGACTCTGACCGACGGGGGAAGAGGGCGAGAGAGGTGGGGCCAACCAAGGTAGTAGCATTCACACGCGAGGAATGTCCACGCCGTCGGAGGTGTTTTTATCGTCTGACAGAAATTCTCTGAAATGAATTTGCGGAACTTTTCGGAAACTTTCGGCAAAGACCCGGCTGACGTTCTCATCTTGCAACGATGGCGAAGGTAATGATGACGAAGATGATGGTAGTGGTTTTCTTGGTGGTGTTACCAAGAAAAGGAAAATAAACACTGTGGCCCACTGTGTTTGTGACAGTGCGCGGCGCTTCACACCACATGAGTGGCGATAGAAGTCTTTTCAAGTGTGTGCACCCTGCGCAGCGCGTCAAGCTAAATTTGGCGGATAGAGCACCCCCACGCCCCACCGTGAGAGGTATCCTCAAAGAGAATTCCCTGGGGCTCACGGTTGGCCTTTTCCACCCGGAGCCTACTCGAATGCTAGTGAGTGCTGACGCACTAAACGAGGATGGTTACAGTGTAGCCCTCGATAAACCAGAGTCGCACACCCTGCGTAAGGCTTCTGGTTGGTGCGTTCCCGTTTACAGCGAAACCTAAACAGGTCTACCTGTGGTAGGCGTTGACTTCTACAAGAAGATAGACTCCACTCCGGCTAGCCCAGCTAAGGTTCAGGAGGGGGCTTCGGCTTCACTCTCCGCTGCGGCTAAGCTTAGGGCCCGTCAGCAGTGTGGGCATCTTTTCGCCCCAGTAGTGGACACCTTTTCTGTAGTCGATAACTGTCACGAGTGCAACTAAGAACCCAAGAGAGGCGCCGAAGCTGGCACGTCAGCGATAGACACAAAACTCCAGACACAAAGTTCGGGGCCCCAACCTTTTGGCGCAAGACCCTCCGAGAGGCGCTGCGCGGGGCGCTCGTACCAAGGGGCCAAAGCCCCGGCCTCAATTTCCGTAGCTTTGGCCTTTTCATGCGAAACCTTCTAGGGAGCACGCCGCGGGGCGCTTGGGCTAAGGATCCAAAAACTAACTCGGATACGGTGGCGAGAGTTTTGGCCCTTTGGCTCAAACCCCCTCAAGACATGACATGGCGAGGCGCTCCCCGAGGCTCCTCCACCAAGACAGCGAGGCAGCTCTGGCACACGACGCACTCTGCTAGCACGCAGCTGCTGCACAACTTTCCTACGCAGTCTAGTGCACGCTTTTAGTGCACACTTTTGGCGCACGCTTTTAGTGCACACTTTTAGTGCACACTTTTTAGTGCGCACTTTTTAGCGCACACTTTTCGGGCACACTGACTTTTCCGCGGAAAATTGCGCGGACATCCCCGAAAACAGCGCACACACCACTGCGCACATTTTTCATTCTTCCAATAGAAAAAGCCCCCCGCGGAAAAGTGCGCAGTGAAGTGCGCGCTGATGTGTGCAGTGAAGTGTGCGCCGATTTTGGAAAATAAAAAAAAACCCCAAAAGCGAACACTTTTCGGAAAAAAAAACAGACCCGACACCAGAGAGACCCCAAAGAAAGCCCAACAACCAAACTGGAGAAAGGCAGACCGCTACCCTGGGGAAAAAACCCTCCCCGAACACCAAGCAGGCCCACCACACTGCGAAACACCACCAACAACGCGCGCGAGGGAACACCTAGGGCAACGGCTGAGACCCACAATCAACACACCCCGAGCCGGCGCCACAATCTGTGGCGTCCCGTTCTCACCGACGACGACACACAGCGCAGGCCCTCCCGGCGAAGACATAGGCAACACCCCCACCAACCGAGGAGAAAAAGCTTCACAGACGGCCGAAGAACCGACACGGCACCACTGCCAGACCCGGACGGCACAAAAAAGCCCCAACAAGTCACCACAAATTTCCCCACAAACTTACAAACAGACTCACGAGGCACAGGGCACCCATTCGCGCGCCCTACTCTCCGTGGCCCTACGCAAAAAGGCAGCGGGGGGCTTGAATCACGGGGCCCCACAAAACAACACCAAAAACCCACTACCAAAAGGGGAAGAACTTACAAAATTCCCCAGGATTTGCGCGCAGTGGTTAGGCCAGCCACCCCACCGAGTGAGGCCCAGGCTTTTTTTAGGCCACAGGATGGACCACGGGGGCGCGGTGCCCTCAGGAGTTGCGCGGAGGGCTCCCCCGGTCTCTTCTCCAAACAATGCCCAACGGAGCGAAGCCGCCGCGCTTTCTCCCCTGACTGACGGGCGGCGACCAGCCTGGGGGCCACCCCCGCCTGCCAGTCGAGTCCCCTGCAGCATTCGAGCCCGAGACACTCCAGAACCGAGCGCAAGCACTTGCCCACTGCGCCAGCCTGGCAGGCCTGTGACTGAGTGTGGGAAGTTGGGAGCATCCTGCCCGAGCGTGTAGCCGTTGCTGTAATTCTCCCCGATGGCCTATCTGTCTGAGGTGGCCCTGCGTGAACACGCCGCCCGAGTTGGTTCCAACGCTGCGGAGGCGCTTAGGGAAGGGTCTGACAATCACTGTGCCCAACCGTTTGGGGGAGAGCTTTTCCGGAGATTTTCTGCCTCAGTCGTGCCGCCGCTGTAGTTCGGGAGCAGTGCTCAGGCGGACAAGTGCCGGGCCAACGAGTCGGGTTACAAAATGTCTAAGATTTTCGGTATTTCAGAAACCCCGAGCCCACAGACAGAGGGGGCCGGAGTGTCTCGGCCGTTCTCGAGCATGCAACCACACCGCGGGCCCTCTGGTAGCATGGTCGTAGGCTGGGCACCATCCGAGCAGGCCAAAGCGCAGCACAGTGTGAAAATGCCCACACCTGGGCGTGGACAATTTCGCGAACTTGCGGCAACTGATTGCCGAAAGTTCGTCAAATTGTCCACGGTCCACGGTGAAAGCCAGCTGCCCAGGGTTTTGGCTCGTTGGTACCAATCCCCTGCGAAGACCCACAGGGAACCGAACCTCCACTCGAGCTCGGCACAACCAGGCCCGACGAGCTTGGAGCAGCCATACGATACTGCGAGGCAGGGCCTCAGAATATGACTCCTTGCTCCAAATCCCATCAGCCCGATCACACGATAGCACAGCGCGACGCCCTACCTGCTCCCCCAAAAGAGACGGTTAAAATTCCGGTTAAAAATGGCGGTTAAAATTACGGTTAAAAATGCCGGTTAAAAACCGGTCTAAAGTAGGCGGTTAAAAAACCGCCGACTTCCGCGACGGTTAAAAAAGTCGGCGACATGGTCATCCAAATCCGGCTGGCCATGTCTAAAACCGACCCCCGGCAGGAAAATTAACGGCCCCAAGGCGAAAACACACGAGAAAAAGACCCCCAAATTTTAAGCGTTTTTTAACCGTTTTTTTAACCGTTTTTTTTGAAAGAGAAAAAGGGAAAAAAAGTTTAGCCGTGTTTTAACCGTCCACTTTGGGGCTCCAGCCCCAAACATCCCTACCGAACCCCGCACCTTCATCTTACGGCAACAACACCAAGGAGTTGCCACGCGCCACCAGATTCGCCACCCATTGAACGGCAAGACCAACCCATTGAAAGGTAAGGCGACGACACCGGGAAGACCAGGAGAACCACCTCCGAGGACACCCGGCGGCATTCTTCTATCACTTTGCGCCTCTACTGCTGGTGGCCGTATGAATCTAGAAGGATGCTCCAAAGCCACAGGGGCGCAAAGTACTCGAAGGGAGGGGCGGGGAGGGCGAAAGGGCGCGACCGAAAAATGTGGGGCTTATTTTCGGTCAGCGCACTTTTTGGGGCCCTGCTGACTAGAGCCATGAGCAGACCCCCCGGCTAGAGCGGAGCGACAAAACCAATCCCCAGGGGAACACACCCGGCCACTTGCTGACACCCCCCAACGGGACACGAGAGAGGGGCAAAAGACACCAAAGCGAAGCCAAGGGGAAAAAGACACAAGACAGGCGGACAACGATCCCAAAAAGCCGACTTTTTTAGCCATTTCTTAATCACAAGGCTGGCCGGGTGCGCGTCCGCCTGACAGTGCGATCGGCTGGAAGCCTTGAGAGATCGCCCTGACCTCCACCTTGATGGAGCACAACCCAAGCGTCGGAGATGGTCCCTGAACCCCCCAGGATCAGTGAATGCACTCAGTTACATATTTAGTTCAAAGGAGGCCCACACGTCCGCTTCCTTTGCCCCTTGCACTCCGTGAGAGGCAATGTGATCGACATCTATCTTCACTCATACGACTTTTTTCTTTGGTTTTCAACGAAATGACAGAGGACGTGAACCATGCTAGCACGCTCAGAGGTCTCTGTTTCCAAAAAAGAACAACGCCCGCTTTTGTTTGGTCGGGACCTGCCGCCGATGAGGCTAGTAGGCTTCTGATGACTCACGTCTGTCGCCCTTCATACGACGCGGCGCACTGCGGAGGTGTGAGACTTGTGGCGGCTCCCCTAACAGTTGGCAACGCCGCACGTGCAGCAATGCCACATCTCCGCACAAGCAATACTATGGCCGGTAGGCACGCGCCTTTCGAGGGAAAAACTGACCCGTGCCAGTACCCTTCCAAAACACGTAATCGATATACGCTTTCCCCGGCGCCGGGTGGCTTTCCTTCATAACTCGCGCGGTGAATCCCATTTCCGACATGTGGGTCTTCATGTTTTGCCCCTGATTGGCGGGCATGCCCCCCCGACTCCTCGTGTCGGGGTACTCTATGGTCTCTGCCTGCACTTGTTGAATACGCTTGATGCTGGCCCCCGCAGACTGAAGCACCCCGACATCGTTTCCATTTGTATCAGTTTTTAGGAAAATTTTGATTTCTTGCGGTATGGCGTCCAGTATCTGCTTCAGCGAGATCGCAGGCACCCAGCTTGACATACGGTCCATGCCCTGGCCCGGAAGGTAAAGGGAGTGCCCCCCCCCGCGCCGTGAGGTACGGTGCAGCTCCACCAGCCCGCCAGTCTTGGTCACCGCCGCATTGATGAGCGTACACCTCTGCAAATCCGCGCACAAATCACTCAGGTGATAATCACGAATGCTATCCAAGTTTGCTTCCACAGCCACCACGAATTCGTTTGCGGCTGGCTCGAGTATTTCGCTATTCAAGCCGATATCGATAATGACAGTGTCGATTCCGTTGGGAAAGTGGAGCTTCGCGACATGGTCTGGCGCTGACTGAGATAACGCCTCAGCCGGGGCTTGGTAGGGGGACACCTTCTGCCTGGTAGTGAAACGACACCCACCGCCTACTTTTGCCACGTCCCAAGCTACTATGATACGTAAATACCTACTCACACTCTAAAACGTGAATTTTTTTGAGAATTGTTCAGTAAGCAACTGCACGCAGGCGCGTGGCGTCGCGTGTGGGCAACTGTTGGCGAGATCGTGCGCACTCTCTGCTTCGGGTTGAGCGGCTTTCGGACGGGCCAAGGGGCCAAGATCCGAAGTGGCAGCCACAGCGCAGCACTGGCGCGGCCTACTCTTGCGCCCTTTTCTGGGGCTGCCCAGCACGACAGGGCGCCCAAGACTGCGGAGCCCTTGGCAAACTCCAAAAAACCTACTCTAAACCGATTCCGACCCCTCACCCAAAGGGACCCCTGAAAGGGTTAGAGTAGGTTTTTTGTGAAGGCCTTTTTCGCGGGATTGTCGGGCAGGGGAGGCCGGTTTTTGCAAACACCGAAAAACCTACTCTAAACGATTTCGGCAGGTCCCACCTCCCGACCATTCTGGCCAGCCCTGGCCAAATCCAAACTCGGCAGCAGAGGCCGAATGGAAGGGAGGCAAAGGCCATTCTACCCGTAGCTGCGTGCGCAGACCCAGCAAATTCCAGGCGACTCGGCAGAAGGTGGGGCTCTGCTTCCCTAGCCGCGTGAGCCTATTTGGCGGCTGGAGCAGAGCGGGCCCACTCTGGAGAGTAGTGCGCACCGCCAAGCGTGTGCAGCAGAGCCTAATGCGTTTGCTCACTCTTTGCGCCATATGGCTCAAAAAATTTCACGCTTTAGAGTGTGAGTAGTTTTTTACGTTCCATAGCTACGAAGAAAATCATAGTGGTCACAAGAAAAAGAATGCCAATCCACCCGATCCGACTGGCGCAATGTACTCGGCTGGCGACCATAATTTGATTCATTTTTGGATCTTCTGTGCTAGCTCACTTACATAAAAAAATACTATGTACAGACAAGGCGTCGACCGTCTTTGCTGTGGGAGACTTTGAAGGAAAGAGGCGCGCGCGCTTGTGACATGCATCGGCTAGTCTAGTCGTTTACCACCCGAGCAGCAACATCAGTCCGCTGCTGAACGATCGATCGCATCGCACTAGGTTCGAAGTGAGTGGCCAAGTCAGTCGCGCCGTGATTTAGGGTAGTAAAGCAAGGCCTCGATCGGTTCACTCTGTGTCTGTTCGTTTTCTGTTTGTTGTGAAAGGTTTCGAAGAAGGTCGGCAACCTTATCGGAATCGATGGCGCACGGTCATCAGTCTGAGTCTCTCGCTCGGCAGACACTATACCTGAAAAACCCGGACAGCTTCGCATCATCAGAAAGGCCACCGCCGTCGCGCGGCTGAGCGTGGTCCACTGCCGTTGCCGATGAATGGGCCTCAGTTATGATAGCAAAAGGTCTAAGTACTGAAAGGTAAACTGTTGTGAGTCCTCTAATTTCTTACTACCGCCAGGGAGAGTTCTTCTTTGATTCGAATACTTCTTCGAAAGTGTACAGGTTCGACTGACGCGTGGACCGGCCCCCGATCGGTCCAGATTGACACTCATCATGGGCCGGAAAGGACGAGGCGGCACACGGGCGCGGCGAAGGTCGAGCATGCTGAGGGTGGGGGATCCTAGTGGGGAGGAGTGTTGCCGGGCGCTCAGATCTAGTAATTGATGACCTCGATCTTACTGGGAGAACATGATGAACGAATAGCCGAAACAATGGCAACACTGATGACCTTGATGAAACCTTGTCACGGGTCAGTTTTACAAGATAAAGAAGCCCTTTCAGATCGGGCCAGCGTTGATCCTGGTCAAGAGTTGACGAACCCCGATAAGCGTCAGCGGGTTTGCTCGTGCTTCGGGTTTAGGCGTGAACACTGCAAAACCAAAAAAGCCCCACCCATTTCAAAGCCCCCGTGAACTCAATGCCCGACTAGGAGCTAGCGCTCACCGCTTCTCGCCAAGGAAATGAAAATCACGCTCGCTAAACATCCCCGCGAGGTCCCCGAAGTCCTGCGCGATAACCTCTCGGAGGGACTCCCTGTTCAGAAAGTCCGGAACCGAGCACCCCGCGGTGGGCTGGTTTTCTCCTGCGTCGCACTCCCAGCTGTCGCATTCCCATGCGGCTACGACTCCGTGACAGGCGTGCCCCCTCTGGCTACCCAGCGTCTTCTCGCGCGGTGCCAGAAAGTAGAAGCTTGTGTGCGGCGAAACTATCGGCCCAAAACGCGCGTCAACGACAACACCGCGCAGGTTCCTGTTCTTCCTTGCACTTCCCCCTTTTTTCTGGAGGCAAGAAAGGTGCCAACCAAGACCTTTGAAAGCCGATAGTATTTCAGCTGTCGAGTGACGGGCGTCATATTTGTCAATTGCAACACGGCAAACCTTGTGCCTCAATATTGGAGAAAATGCAGGCGCGATCAATTCCGCCAGACCGATCTGCGGGGTGTAAAACAAGATATCCACGCGGGCAATATCACGAAAGAGCGTTCTCAAGCTGATTGTAGGCACTTGAGGACTTGGCGCGAATTTGCCGCGGAGACCAGCGCAGATCCCTCTTGTGCTAACATTCGCATTAATCTGCCCCATCTTTTTCCAATGCTCTTTTAGGCAAAGGGGGTCAACGAGAACGGCCACGGGAGAGCCGTCAGGCTCGAGCAACTTTGCGTAGAAAGCAGCGGCGACAGCATACTTGCCCACCCGGGCACCCACTTCCATGGACGTAAACCGGCCGCCAGCCAACCTCGGGAAGAATTTTCCAGCCGCGCGCCCTGAGTAAGCAACGGCGGCCGAAATGGCGTAGGTCATGAACCAATACCTTTGGTCAAGCTGCATATGATTGCGAAACGTCCCCGCGCCTCCCTGAAGGCGAGTCGCGCGCGATAGAGACTCTTCCTGCCCATTCTTTTGTTTTTTATTGTGCAAATTCTCAAGGTAATCCAGACACGCAAACACGTTTGCCTTTGCTGAGTGGTCTCGGCACTCCGTGCTAAAAGGAACACGAACACCGGCGCCGTCCATCGCGTAACCCTCAACGGCTGGCTTTTCATGAAGCCACACGCGCCAATCGCTGCCATTCGGAGCCTATAGCCATTGCCACCACATTTCATTTTAATTTTTTGTAAAAGAAGAAGCCTATACACCTTGCCCTATTTGCTACCAGCCCGCTAACGTTCCGAGCCGCTCCACAAGCTTCCCTGGGCCCACCCCGTGCCCGTGAAGCCAGCGCCAAGCCCGAAGCACCGCGACCCCACACAAGCGCATCACATCTCAGAGGGAGCTCGCACTAGAGAAGAACAAGAAAAGGAGCGATGCCACCACCCATGCACATATATACAAATCATACCAAAAGCGCCACCCCTCCCGGATTGCATGCATGCAGGCGGGCCCACCGACACACGCTGACCGCTAACAAGCGCCGCGAGAGTAAGCCTCGACAACCGAGGCGCCCCGCCCTTTGCCTCCCTTGCTTTGGTGGTTCGCCTCATCTTCTAGCCCTCTCCTATATGCCTCGCCTTTTTCCTCACCTTTTTGCCCCTCTTTTCTTTTACTTGCGTCACCTTTCCCGCCCCTTTTCCTTTTCCCTTTGTGTGTCGTCTTAGTTCCTTCCGGCGCGGCCTCTCCTGTTGGTGTGTTTGCTTCTGCTGCGCTCCCGCCCGGCACCCCTCCACTTTCTTCCGCTTTTAACCCATGTCCCTCACACGATTCCCCCCAGCTGTGCCACCCCCCTCAGCTCTATCGCAGGCCCCACCAAGCCTCCATCTCAGTGCACTCCCTGCAACATCCACCCCCCGGCGGCCCTCATGAGTCGGCCCGCCTCTCGTTTTTCATGCAACACACCCAGCTACACCAAGTCCAACCACCCCGGTGTCAGCAGTGCCCGCGCTGGGACACCTGCGCGCAGCCGTCGCCGCTCCTTGTCCTTCCCCTCCTCCTCTCCGTTGGCTTTCTCCCCATTATCGTCACCGCTGCCACCTCTTCACAGTGTCAACGCCTAACACACGAGAGCACACGCGCAGCACGTCTTGCGACTTGTGGCGCCGTCTTCTAGCAGTCTGCGACTACCCAAAGGGGCAGCACCCTGATCAAAGCGGCACCCGCAGCCTTTGCGTGTGCGTCTCAAACTCTAACTCTTCCCGCTTGACAGCCAAAGGCTTCACACCCCCACACCCTGCAACGCGGGGGCCCTCGCCACGCCTCTGCTTCGTCCCCCGTTTTCCTTCTCTTCTGCTTGATGTGAGTGCGCAGACCTATGCCGCACACCCTGCAGATTCGGCAGACCTATCCGCGCGCAGCTTTCCTCCCCTCTGCCGCGGGTTCCCTTGTCGTTATTCCTTGCCCCTTCCTCTTCCCGCTCGGTATTCCGATCACGTCTCCCGTTCGTTCCTATTCTTTCCCTCCTTCGCCGTCCTATCTCACGCCCCACCTGCTAGCGCCTCATTCTGAAACCAGTGCGCCCCAGTTCCGTGGAAGCTCCGAAACCTGCCCACCCCCTACTCCGAAGCTTTCACCCCTGCCTACCCCTACCCTCTCGCGCGTCCCTCTTTCTATCTGGTAGAGCCCAGCCAAGTGATGGCCCAAGCGCATGCCTCTCAAAATGCCCAACATCTATGACGGCAGAGCCTGGCTGCAGTCGGTTTACTGGGTGCTAGTGGTAGCACTTCAGCAACAAGCTACCACCTTAGATGGTGGGGCTAGTCGATGGCAGTCCCGGCCCCCTCCAGGCTAGTCTGCGAGGCCTGAACCTGCTCAGAGCGAGCGGCGCTGACGTCTAATTAAACCCCAACAAAAAGCAGGGGGCTTACATGTGCTCCCATTCTGTCAGAAAGCTTCCAGAAAGCTCCTGGCAAGATCTAGGCAGCTTGGAGTCTAGTCTATAGCGGGGACGGGCTTCCGAGGGCCTCACTTTGGCCGGGCCTGCTTTCATTTCAACCCATGACAGACCTCGCGGGAGAGTCTGGAGCAAATCGCGCCAAATTTCAACAAACTGCGCCAACATCACTCGCATTGTATCGAATTGCCCAAAAATCGAACGAAGAGAGACCAGAAAGCCAACACGATGGCAAAGCGCAACCTTTGGAACAGTGGGGGCCGAAACAGTGGGAAGCTCTACAAATCAGCACCAAAACTGCGGGGGCTTTCTATCGTTAGGGCGATCTGCCTGATTTTAGACACATCGACGCAATTCATTTGGTTGGAGCCCAACTTTCTCGACAACAACCCCCGGCGGGGAAACTCCGCGGAAAGTTCAAAAACCCGAAAGCAAAAACACGAACAGACGAGAGACAACACCCAACCACAATCAAACGACAAACGACACAACGGCGGCAACAGACGACAACCACACACCAAGCGAGAGAGAAGACACCAACGCGAAAACACGGAAGAGAGGGACAACCGAACCCAGAAAAAACCGGACAAAACAACGACACCAGAAACCGAGAACACCGGGCGACACGGCCGCAAGCCCTGACGCGTTTCCTTCTAAGCTGCAAAGTTCATGGCTTCATCAAAAAAAACCCAGACGCGAAAATCTGCGGAAAGTTCGCGAAAAGTTTGCGGAAAGTTTCAGAATTTTCGAGAATGTTGGAACCTGCTCGGTTTATACTTTCCTCGAGGGACTTAGACTCTTTTCTACTTTTATCCTTGCTTCAACTTTTTCCCTGATCTTTCCCAAAAGCTTGGCAGGAACACCCACCCCACACACACCGGCGGGCCCCACCCCTGTGCAAACTATCCAGGCCGAGGAACATACAAAGGGCGACAACGTACCGGGCTGAAAGACAAAACACCGACGAGGACACACACATGCCAAAACATGAGAGCGAACAATCACAACCCGGCACAACCAGCACAACACACCACCACCGAAACACTGACAACACCCGGAACCACCACAGACACCCAAAGACCCCCCTGGAGTCACACACAGCGCACCACACCGAGGCGCCCGCCGAACTTTCCGCGGAAATACATGCACAATTCTCGCCATCGATCCGCTGGCCTCCAAATTTTGGAAACCCCGAGCGGATGGGCGTGGCAATTTGCTAAGCCTGACCCAATCCCGACACAGGGAGGTGGGCCGGCCCAAAGCCCTCCGATCTGGTTCCGCAACGTCGGCACCCTACTGACTTGACTAGCCACGATCGAACTAGCTCGCCACCTAGTTAAATAAGCACAAGAAAGAAGAACGACAAAGACAAAACGACACAAGACCAAGACCGACACAACACAAACACACACGGCGCGCCTTCTCTCTCCTCGAGCAAGTTTGGCAGGCGTTGCCCCAAAGACATCACACATAGACAGACCGACACGGCCCAAGATGGACCCAAACACAAGCCCACGCACTATGGCCAACAACATCGCACGGAGCTACAAACTAAATGGGCCACATTCTTGGCCACTTTTCCGCTTCAAGTTCTTGCAAGCTTTGAGCGTGCCCACAAAATGCACCACCTGCGCCCGCCAACGGCGCGCCTTGGTTTACCAGTGCGGCCACTTCTCTCTCTCTCTCTTTGTCTGATTGACACAGCGCCAACCTCCGGGCTCTCTTCTCTCTTTTTCCGCGTTTGGGTCTGTTCTGGCCTTGCTGGCCCTGCGGCTTTTCAAGGCGGTCCCCCCAGCGCTGAGCCTGGTCGCCCTAAGCGCTTCACAGTGGTAACACACCTGGCCGCGCCAGTGGATCCCTTCTGTTTTTGTTTCATTTTTCTCGTGGCCTGTCCCCACAGTCGAAGCCGCCGAGTTTGGCTGGCCGACGGTGTTGAGCTGGGAGAGGCATAGACGCGCGGGCGCCCTTCTGCCAGCTTCCTGAGACTCCTTGCGACGCAGTCTATTGCTTTCCCCTTATGCGCACACTTTCCACCCAACCGTCACCAGCCCAGTTTTCTCCCCAGGGGCACGCAGGCGCGATCTGTATTCAGACCACCCCGCTCTACTTATGCATAGCAAGGCATATAAGATTTTTCTTTTGCGAGAAATGTCATGGCCCTCCGGTGTCTGTAAGGCCTTGCTGGACAATAAAGCTGCGCTTGCGCGGTGCCATGCAGGATGATTGTTGACCCATTTTCCCGAGCACAAGTTGTAAGCTCTCGGCGGAAAAGCGTGAGACCGACGCGTCGACATTTCAGATCCCGGCGCAGTCGGCCTTGCTACGCCAGTATCTAAGGTAGCGCCACAGGCTGCGTGTGCGCGGCTATTTATTGACATGCCAATACGGTTCGAAAAAAGGCAATCGCCATAAGCTTTGCCCGGCACCGGGTGACTTTCTTTCGTCGCTCGCGACGTGAGTCCCATTCCCGACGCGTGGCTTTGGTTGAAGGACAACCCCTGACCAAAACGGCGCGCGCCGTCTTCTTTCACCATGCGCCAAGCCTTTTGAAAGAAAAGCGTCAACGTGGTTACAAAAACGCCAATCCAGCGGATCAGACTGGCGGACCCTGCTCGGCTGGCACCCATATTCAAGCCGCAAACTTTCCACGCGCGGCGCTGCCTGTTCTATTCCTAAATAAAGCTCAGAGCTTGCTGTGCTCTAGAAAGAAGGCCCCCAGCTGAATAGCTGCCAGAAGAATTAACCCGACGCGCCTCATCTGTCTAGGCGCACCATTATAATATAGATGGAAGCACTTCCTGCGCCTTCTCATGGGACCATACCCCATGGGACTCAGTCACCGAACCCCGCCAAAGGTCCAGCCCACGAATGTCGCCCAGGCCCCCGTCCCAAAATTATCACTCCATAAGAGCACACCAATCGCACTTCCTGCGCCCCAATCCTCGCAAAAGCATGCAAGGCACTTCCTCGACCCCAATGCCCGCTACGCTACCCACCCTTTTCGTGGTTGTGCTCCTTCTTTTCTTAGTCTTCTCAGACCGTTCCAACACCCTGGCAGGCTGCCCGCTGGGTATACAACGCCGACAAGCCTCGAAACATCAGTCGCAGGCTACGTTCGGGTGGACACGACGGGGAAGGCGGAGACAGGTGGGGGGCCTTCATATAGTGCAAAGGTGCCCCAGGTCGGTGCGCAAGATGGTTGGCAAGGCAAAACCAGGCGACTTCTTTGACGAGTCCAAGAATGGCCCTGAGTCAACCCCCCCCCCAGAGGCCCTGGCCCACAGCTTGGCAGCCGTGGCGGCGATCAGATACTGTTGGGGACAGCGCCGCCATATCGTATGTGCGTCCATGTGTTCCAGCTCATGACCCAGTAACACATCAGCGGCTTTACCGGCGAAGACACCCGGGGAACCAGGGGCCGTTCTTTCTCGCAGTCGTTTTGCCTGGTCTTTCGTTGTCAGCTGGCGCACTTCTTCACAGAAGGGCCGCCCTTTTTTTACACCCAAGCCAGGCCCAACACTGCCCCACTGCGCAGTGCAGCGCCAGAGCCAACCTCGCCAAAGCTCCGCCCAATGAAACCTAAATAAGACCAACCCCACAAGATGACGGCGCCCAAAATACCAGACACGAGCTGTAGGCGTCGCCCCCCATTCAGATTGCCGCTCCACAAACATTGCAACCGACCACACTAAGCCGGCCCAAGCTTGAGCCTATCTTAGGCCCTCTCAGTATGTCTTGCGTGATGTCACCGAGGTAACACATGCCAAACCTGCACGAGGAAAGAGAATGGGCGTCGTGCGGTCTGTGTTAGTTCGGTCTTGGGTCGTGCTTGTTCTGTTGTTCTTGTCTTTCGGTCTTGTGCTTACTCAAGTTAGTAGCTACCTAAGTAGGGCGCTGACGCTGCGGAACTGGATCAGAAGACCTCGGATTTCAGTGGGGACAGGATCAAGGTTGGCAATGGATCACATTCTCCCCCCGAGATTCTCCAAAGGGGTTCCACAGTAGTAGCAAAAAGCTACTTAGTCAGCTTTTTCTGTGTTTGTTGTGCCTTTTGGCTATGGAAGCAAGTGCCTCAGCTCTAACCGTAGCAGGCTGCAGCGGAACAGGATAAAAATGCTTCGAGCTGGAATATGTAGCACTTTCTTCTAGTAGTTTGCTCGCTTCAAGAAGTTTCTAGCTCGCTTAGTCTTACCGTTTTGCTTCGTTTTAACTAGTTCAAACGTGTGCGGTTTGTTCTTATAAACTTAAACAGCGTGAGTCTTCGTCTTTTTTTTGCTGTAGATTTGGCCTTCTAGTCACAGTTTCTAGATGCGTTTTAACATTAAAAAGCTGGAAACCGGCGCGGCCTTTTATAGGGTGAGTAGGTCACTTTTATGCCGAAAATGGGCACTGGGTATAAAATAATGGCGAAAAGCTTTTCACTAAGGACCAAAAATAGATCTACACAGTAAGCACTTGGGGGCCTATCTTAGTAAGGTAGAAAAAGAGCACGCTTTACTTCGTTACTAAAAGTCGCCCGCTTCTTCTTCTTCCCTTCTTCTTTACCCCCTTCTTCACCGTCGTGCTCGGGGCTTTTGCTTCTTTTCCTTTTCTGCTGACCTTCTCCGCTCAGATGGCGACGCGAACCACGATCCTCGCGCGCCTGAGATAGAGTCAATTGTGGAAGGAAAAGCGTGAACTGCTCCCGCGATAGGGTGACCACGAGCACCATGCAACATCATCAAGAGAACCTCACTCGGTGCTGGCTCTCTGAGAGCATCTGCTCGCACCAGATGCGGCGGACAATAACGACATCTGTCGACAAGCTCTCCCACTCACAAAGTGCAATCGTGAGCGGTAGCGCTTACTACCCGAACGCCTGTTATCCTGGGAAGTTTGCGCTAGGCTCGGCATGTTGTCAACCCATTTTGGTGGGACGTTTGTACGCCCCGGATTCCTGCACTTTGTGCCCGGAACGATGTCACCAAGGCCCTGCGACTGCGCAAACTGGACTGGCTCACACTTACCCACGGCCTCCACGTGTGGCGATGGATGTAGATAGTGCCGCAATCGTTTGTCGCTTAGATCGCCACACCACTGGACTACCATAGTAGGTCACCAGGCTCCCCGTAGTTTACTTGCTTGCAGAAGGGCATCCCTGAGCATCGGCGTCGCTGATGAGACCCATAGGAGACACTTCGCCTGGTGAATCGGCCTGCGCGCGCTACCTGTAGCCGACGCGACTCCGGCACTCCACAGTGGTCCATGAGTTGCCTTGTATTCTTTCCAGCTGTCCTGAGTCCACTCTACTCCCAGCCCAAGCGTCCCGCGCAAATAGCGCATAACATGTCTGAGCATGAGCGCCTGTAGCTCTGGAAGAGGACACCTTGCCACAACATTCACCACCTCGGTGATGTCTAACCGACAAGACAATGCTAGACGCAACAACTCGCCCACCACAGCTCTGCTTTGGAATTCGCCAACCATCTTCGCTCTCTTGTTGGATCCAGATGGTATGTATGAAGCCCAAAAGCAGCAACTTAATCTAACAAAAAAACAAAAAACGGGGAAACACGGGGGAGAGGTAGCCTGGCTGGAAAGGGGTGGGTAATGGGGCGAGTAGGTTGGAAAGAAAGTGACAAGGTGAAGAAATGGGGGGTCAGGGTGAGTGGGAGACTGGTGCTGGCATAAGTGAGAACGGAACAGAAACAGACGCAAACAGAGTTGGAAACCAATCGCAAAAGGGCCGGGAAGGTGTGGGAGATGGGGCGGGCTTGGGTATTTTCTAGTGAGGAATCGGGTCGGGGATGCTTTAGCTTGAAAAGCTTGCAAGCAAAAGGGTCGAGCAGGTGGGGAAGCAAGTGGTAGAGGTAGGCTGGGGCTAGATGCTGAAGACATTGGCGAGGGAAGATAGGACACCAGTGAGGGACGACTAAGCTCGCTACATGCGATCGCTGTCCTTTTGTTCGCATCTCTATGCCCGGTCAATCAGGTCGAGCCTGGGCCTGTTTTCTTCGTGTTCGGTTAGCAGTTTGGAGCTTCGGCTTGAGAGAGAGCCCGAGAGGCTCGGTCGAAGCATGTCGACTGAGTATAGCTGAGAGTGAGGGGCAAGGAAGCAGTAGGAGGTCGCGCATGTAAAGTCGCAAACTCGACGCATCGCGGTCTTCTTTGTTTTCCAAAACTATAGCAGGGCTTTTGTTTGTATAACATGATAAAAGATGGGGGCGCTAGAAGATATGGCAGCTGGCAAGGTCAGAAAGCGACCAAATCCGAAGTTGCGACCTGTTGCCCCAGCGTGGAGTGGTGTTGATATTAGTCGCGAAGTAGCAGACGCTTCTGCTACTGCTAGCGACCCCAACACTCCGGCGGCAGTTTCGCTCACAGCATCAACGAGCTCGGCGTCTTCTTCTAGTAGCAGTGTACAAATACAGCCGGAAGCCCCGCCAGATGCTGTCTCGGATTTCTTCAAGTTGCCCGAGAAAGAATCCCTTTCGAAGTACAATAACGACCAGCGTCATGTTCTAGCACTTCTAGCACAAGAGGGCGCGTCTCATACGGCTTGGCAATGGGCAGAAAAAGTAGATGCTGCGGGAGTAGGCTGCAGAATGGAAGCAGATGAAACTACTAGGGCACGCCTCATCGAGTATGACAAGACTGCACCGACCTGGAAACAGGCAAAATGGTCTGGCGCAGCAGCGACGCAAAGTTCTTGATCTTCAGTCCACGCATCTCCAGCGAGCGCCCAGCTGTAGTTCCTTTACCGACTTGCTTGATGATCTTCCCACCGAACCACAAGAGCAAAGAAGCTTCTCTTCATTTTGAAATAGCGAGCAAGGTGCTGGACGAGGTGAAAATGCTGCAACTAGGCAGCAAGGTGGAGAAGAAGATCCCGACGCTGGCTTTTTTTTGTGCTGACACCGCTGCCGCAACCTTCATCCTATGGCCGACAGAGCAAGTGCGACAGAGTGGCGCCAACATCCTACCGATCGGCGTGAGGTGTCACACGCACCAGGGACCGACAATAACAGTAGCCAACTGCAAGGCCTTCCGCAATGAATTTGACAAAGTTGGGCTTTCAGATCAGATGTGGAGCGACCGAGTTCATCTCCGTGCGGGGAGTGTTGTGGAACTACGTACAGAACAAATATCAGGCGCAGCTGCTGGACATCTTGCCGCGCGTACTTACGACTGCCCTCGATGAGGACGCTAGCGGAGCAACTCTAGAAAAAGCGCAACATTAGCGATTTTGCTCTTTTGATGCTTTTCCTTCCACAGTCGAAACATAGGCCAGATGCGCCCTGATCCAATTTTTGCCATCGGCCGGCAACGGCGCGCCGTTTTGACCAACCCGCATGGTGGTGAGGGTCGCCGTGACTGCATCTAGGTCCTCTCTCAACTGAGGGCGCGGATCCAAGATGAGCGGCATGCTCGTGCTCAAGACGTAGACCGCGGCCAGTTCTGGCTCAGTCAAGTCTTCCACCAGCGATGCCCTGCGCTGCCCGAAGGCAATGGCTGGGCGTTGTTGGGCCTCCATTTTGTAGCTTTGGTCTTTTGAGAGCGAAGTAGAATTTTATACGAGTTCCCTCGTTTATTTTTCCCCGGTAGTTTGGTAAGAGTAAGCGTTAGTGTGATGCGAGTGCTAGCGTGGTGATGTGAGCCACTGCATTGTAAGGCTATGTATCCCGCGCGTTGTGGTTAATTATTTCTCGACTTATAGTTACCACGTGAGGCCGTCAGTATTCAGGCTTACGCTTGGTTGCGCGCACCTTGTGGCGGGCTTTAGTGGTAGTCTTTACTTTTGGTTCGGACGGTCCAGCTCTTTGAAAAGCGGCAAACTCATGCGAAAGCTGCGGGATCCGGTGGGTTTTCAGATCGTGCCTCCTTTCCTGGTGTTGAGATCATGGGGTGACTTATGGCCCATAGGAGGAGCCTCAAGCGTCCGCTCCTGTATGGGTTCTCTCTCCCCGTAAGGGTCGTAGAGCAGGCCAGAGCTGCACCTGTAGAACCTTTGGCGAGCATGCCGCGCTCTGGGGTCTTCTCTGTGCATTTCTCGCGCAGATCGGTAGATCTCATTGGTTTCTCGTGCAGATCAGAACACTGTCTATATTGGTCTCTAGTCCGTCGAGGCAGTGCGTTCGCCTGCTAGGTGGCGCGGCGCTCGTTCTCTCGAGGAGATCGGAGCACATGTCGTAGATGGTTCTCCTTAAATTTTTTCCGTGAAGTAGATCTCTTCCCGTTAGCCTTTTGCCATCTTAAGACAGAGTGCGGTAGGCGTCAGTTGTCAGCCTAGCTATTGTAGGTCGCGCCATTTCCCGACTGGGGGCTGGCCTTTCAGTTGAGCATGTGGCGTTTGCCTGATCTCTGAGACTGGCGCCTTCCTTTGGTCGGAGCTCTCGCGTTTGCGCCTAGCATTCTGTGGGAGGTGTCGCTCCTATTTAGTTTTGATTGCGCAATGTCATTGCCGTAGACCCATTTGTGGGCAAGCAACGCATTGACATATCAGCCAGTATTTTGACATGCCAGCGAACAATAAGGAGTCACTCCTCAGACCATAAGCCTAGATAAGGCGAATAGTGGGTGAGGAGGGTACTCCCCTAAAGGACCTGGCGGCGTCCAGGTGGTAAGCCTGCAACCTATTAACTGTGGGTCGGTGGTAGGAGCCCTCCTTCAGGCTGTAAGCCTAGTAAGGCGAACAATAGGTGAGAAGGGTGCTCCAGTGGTGGTAACTGGTGGCATCCAGGTGGTGCAGTGGTGGTAGTGGTTTGGTGGCCACGTGCGTGGTGCCTGGTGGCGCCGGTCGTGCCGGTAGAGGTGTGGTGAGCGGACTCGCGGGGAGTTCCCCAGCCCTCTCCGAAGACCATCCAGAAAACTATCGGCGATCTCCGGAGCGTGCATATTTGCATATTTACTCACCTACGCTCTTCGATAGATTAACACCGAGGAGAGAAGAGCCATATAGATGGGCAGGAGTTCGCATTTTCATTCATTACACATTTCGCGACCTCCGGCCAGACTATGGCCAGGGGTTTGGGCTACACGATGGACCGCCTGGGCGCGGTGCCGCCCACCGCTTGGAGGGCTCTCCCTGGGTCTCATCTCCCCAAACTGTCTGGCCCAACGCGGTCCCCATTTGTTTCCCCTGGTTGTGGGGCGACGACCAGCCTGAAAGCCACCTCCCTGCCAGTCGAGTCCCTTCCAGGATTCGAACCAGCGAGCGAAGTGCAGGCACTTACAGCCAACAGAATAAGAGGGAGAAAGGCAAAACGATTCAGCTCAAGGGATGCGAAACACCGCACGACCCAACTTTGGCCCTCACTCATGACGATGCACAAGCAACGTAAAAACAAGCACCCGAATACTTCAGAAAAGCGCCCATCTCGTCGGGCTAGCTGCCTCCTGCGTGGCTGTCGTGGTGGTTATTTCTCGCTGGCGGCTGCTACATTTTGGGCGTCGCGCTTAGATTGCCGTAGCCGCCCCGCGCATGGATACGGGGCACCCTGATGCTCTTGTTGATAACTTCTCCCATATTGCACTTCTGGCCTACAGGCTGCGTGTTGAACTTTTACCACCTCACCCGAGGTCTGCTCCTACCCCACCCCAGGTCTCATCAATGTGTCTCGCCTACAATTTGCTTTTGGTCTGTCTACGCCTCCGCGTGAAGCCTACAGGTAAACCAGATCTACAACACACTGAGATAAGGACACTGCGCACCGACTTGCGGCTGCATGCCAATGCGCTGGGCTGTAAGCTACGCACCCACCGACCACTGGCCGCGCCCTTCGATCACCTCGCGCCCCCTTTCTTTGCGATGCTATCCCAGCACGCTCCGGTGTCTGCACCCATCCGCAGAGGGGTCCAGATAGGGCGCGTTGCGGTAGCCGCGATCACTCGCTTACAGCATCGCTTTCGCCCTGTCATGCCGTCACAGCTCCGTTGCTGTGGCGTTCCAAAGAGACATGACGGATGTCTCTATGGGACCGCTGTGCGCTGCCGTTATCGTGAGACTTGTTGGGATCGTCTTTCGATTGGTCTGCCCAGCCCGCAAAAAGTGCGCAACATATGCCACACTGACAGGAACGACATCTTCTCGCGACCCGGTGCGTAGCTTCCAAGGTTTGTGTACCCCGTTAATGAGAACGTCTTCTACTCGACTAATGTACTTTGTTCTCCCTCTTGCGACGGGCGCTCCGATTCTCGAGGCCTTTGCAATCCCCGACTGCGTCAATGGAAACTCTGACGAATTCAGCGTAGGAAAATCTGTCCACCATGAGCGGAAGACGATTGCGCCAACGCGCACCTTTTCATTGTTCGAGCGAAACCGCTGCCGGATAATCGAGCCCAGTGTCATATTACCCGATGGCGAAAAAAAGAACTCATCTGGATCACAAACGGCCAGGTACTCTGCAACGCCTTTCAACCTATACGTGGCGTCGTTTATGGCTAAACTCTGTGCAAATTCACCCTTTGGCAATAGCTGTTTGGTAGACAGATTAACCAAACGCCAAGGAAAATCCCATCTCACAAAGGTGACATACCTCAAAAGGCCTGCACCAATTGCCGTCAGTACTTTGCTCTTGATAGCGTCCCAACGGATAACATACAAGACCAAGTGCTCCACGCCAGCCTGGATGTGGTAGCGAAGCCACGATCCGAGTTGAGGCAAGCCCGTGTATACGACTGTCACTAATACCAGACCATACTGCCCTTTCAAAAGGGGGCCTGTGGGGACCTGAACGTTGCGAGAGAGGAGTTGGCGGGGACCTCCAGCGGCCGTTGCCTGAGTATCCTTGTCAACTCGAAGCCGCAACGTTTTCAACGAAAGCAAGCGCTCGCCCAGTTTCTCTATCACACGAGAAACTGCACTCACTCGCAAGCGCCGCGCCTTTGTTTTGCGCTGCGTTACTTAGCTGGGCACCTCGGTGGGCTGTAAGAATGCCACCAGCTATTGAGGCTAGCCCGTAAAGAAAAGGTCCCAGCTCCGCTGAAGGTCGGCCCACGAGGCCCGACGCTCCCACCCATCTGCTGGGGGCGTCTCAGCCCTGCGCTCCTTCCCCTCGTGGCATACTTGTCGGCCACGTCGTTCCCTGCTGTCTGTGGGGTTCAGCCACCTGCGTGGTCATCAGGAGGCCCCAGCTTGCTCCGGTGCAGGTTGTGGGTGGCGACAATATAACACAGGCGACCTCCACAGGCCGGGCACTACGGGCTTCCCGCTTTCTCTCAGAGGGGTCAGCTTGACCTCTCGGGGGCCTCACTATGAGCAATGTTCGCTGGCGGTGAGTTGCGAGCTATGACTAGGCGCCATGGCGGCCACTTTGCCCGTTCTTGCTTTCAGACTCTCCAGAGGGGTCGACTCACAAGCTGAAGCGAAAGCAAGCCCGGCCAAAGTGAGGCACCCCGATGCCGGTTCTAGCTATCGACCCACCCCCAAGCTGCTCAGACTCCGTCGGAAGCTTCACGAAAGCCCCCCAACGAAGTGCAGGCATGTCGTGCAGCAGACCCCTTCTTTGCACCTGGCCCGCGCTCTCAGCTGACCCCAAGACCTGGGGCAGAGGCGTCAGCGCTGCTCGCTCTGAAGTTCAGGCCTCGCGGACTGGTCTGGAGCGGGACCAAGACCACCGTCGACTAGACTCAGCACTTGAGGCGGCAGCCTGCTGAAGTACACAGCCAATGTAAGCAAAAACAAAAAAGCGGCCTCTGCCAATGATTGCAGGCCTTCACTTCTTCATACTCTCCGTGCTGACGATGCTCACCGGCTCCCACCGCGTCCATTGCTCCAAAGTCGTGCGCATGCGCACTGGCTCCTGTGCGTCAAGCGCACCAACAGATATGGTGAAATTTTCACAATCGCCGGAGCCTCTGCCATAAGGGAAACACACCAGATGCGCCCTTCCTCCTGATACGAATGCATCGACGAATAGCCATTTAAATTTTCCAGGCAATATGGCTGACACTGGGGCGATTGCTTCCGCAAGTTCACTAGCATTCTTTCCGCCTAGATCGGTGCTGGCCATATTAGATGACGCAGAAAATTCGCGCGTCCGCGTGGTTGGCAAGCTACTTGAGGCACTAGAGTAGGCACTTCAGTAATAAATAAGCGAAACTACCAGCCAGCACAAGCATACCCTTCCGAGTGCATTGGTGTCAACCATAGTTAGAGGAAGGCCGGCTCGCTGCTTCTCGTGGCGCGTGGGCTTTTCTCTTAGCGCTTCAGACTTCGCGCCTTTTCTTACATGGAACCCACAAGCCTTCGCTGTGAGCCTCTTCCGACTCAAAGCCATGCACCTTGTGACGCTTGGCGGCTTTGGCCTTTGCCTTCAAAGCTGAATGAGTCCCGCAACCCTTTGCCAGGACACTTCAAAAAGGCAGAAGCCCCACACCACCCGCAACCGCTGCACCAGACTGCCCAGCACCGACAGAGCCCCGAGCAGTTAGCGCCGGCACATCAATGCCACAGACCCCTCGCCCATGCTCCCTGAGTCTTGCCAGATGCTGAGGAAGACCGACGGCGAAACAAAGACACACGGCACACATTTACACGCATGCCAACAAAACCCACATAAGCCACAACTTCAGAAGACTACACAGCCGCAAACACGGCCAAAGCACTGCGCGGAAGGCTTGGCGGGTTCCATCATGCTCCCCGCGCTCCTCCCCTTCGGTCATTTTTTTGCACATAGCGAAAGCCTTGGCGCTTCATTTAAAGCCCATGGATAAACGGCACCAGTTTCCTACTATGGCGCCCATTTGTGTCAGCTTGCCAAAAACCGAGAAAAGGCGAGAAGGCTGGCGAAGTTAAAAAGTAAAGCAAAGCTTTGGCGCGCCGGGCGGGCACCTAATCCGACACCAAAGACACGGGGGCCTTTTATAATCCTGCCGATTTGTCTGATATTTAATCAGAAGAGACCCGCGCCACCTTTGGCCACTTCTTTCCCGCACCGCTAAACAAGCAAGGCTCTAAAATCCGCAACCAAATTCGCGGAAGCTTTTCACAACCATGCCGACCGCAGCGAACACCGAAGGGCGCCGCCGTGTGATGGTTATCACTCAGGAGAAGCCCCCAGGCCCAAGTGTAAAGCCCTGCAAGAACTACCACACGGCAGTGGCGCTCACGTGTTAAGCCGCAGAAATTCTATTACAGAGCTGAGACGTGGCGCCACACAGTGGAAAAACATGAAAGCAAAGCAACAACCCCGAACACAGCCGCAAAGGCACACCCCGCAGAAAAATTTCAAACCACACCACAGCGCCCCCACAGTTGTCCACCCTCCGCCAGGGCTCCACCGTCGCCTTTTTTCAGCTCTTTGAACTGCGTTAAGGTGCAGACATGACGAGCCAAAACACCCCAGCAAGATGAGCCGACAAAGGTCGACTAAAAGCTCAAGCGCAGAACAATACAACGCAAGGCCAACACAGAGACACCGACCCCCAGCAGCTTTACCGACAAGCAAAACACCCAACACACCACACCCCCCACCCTGTTGGCCGCAAAAGGCTGAAACGGCGCCGAGAGCTAATAGCACGCCCACACGCAACACATCGCACACGAATGGGGCCCCCAATTATGACGCAACTAGATGCAAAACAGCAAGCGGCGCGCGCAGTCAAGCAGTATAGCCGTCGCCACTCGGCCATCCAACCAAGACCCAAAGAAAAGCCAGACCACTCACTTCACACAAAAAACCGCCGCGCTCTCTATTAGCAGACCCCCGCGCGCTCCAACCACACCCACGGCCGTCGGCTGGCTTGTGGGTCTCACCCAGTTCGCCATCGCGTCGAAGGAGGGCACCCCCACAGCTCTGCCCCGAGGTCTGCTCTGCGCTGTCATGGTCCAACCTGCCGCGCACACGCCCGCGAAGTCCCTGACACCCAGGCCCAGTCTGCCTCTCGAGGCCCTTCAGCTGAGTGAGGCCTGCCCCCGAGCTCCTAACACACCTCGCCCCAAAAAGAAAAAACGCCCCCACTAACCTCCCACGATCCATCTACCGAGCTGCAACAAGCTCCCCCGTCATCTCCGTGGGGTTCTTTTGCCTCTAAGCTCGTGGAAAAGGCTCACCCGCAAGGCAGACGAACACCAAGACGCCAGACCACAACGGGGGCCGCAGAACACTTACCACCCTCCCCCACTTTTCCTTCACCTGGCTCCCTCTTAGATATGACACACCGCCAAGGCGTGCGACGTCGTTTCTCTGGGGCTCACCTCTGTGACACTCCCCGAAAAACTGCACCACTGGGACCCCCTGAAACGGTGTCGAACCAGAGGGGAGAAGACCCAACCAGACAGCCGCCCTCGCTGTGGCGCGGCCCTCGTCCTGACCCTTGTGGGCTTGCTGGCCTTTGCCACACAATTGATGAAAACACCACAGCAAACAAGGCGGCCACCTACCCCCGAGGCCTGCACCCTGCTACCTGGGTCGGAAGAAGTTGGGACTTCTGTAGGGTACACACGGGCAGGCGCTAGGCGGCGGCCGCTCCCAGCTTTGACACCTTCCCCCCCGATAATCGGCACAAAACAACGCGCAAAATGTGCCGAAACACCACCACAAGCCACCACAGGGGGGAAAGGCTAAAAGAAATAAAGCACACCACTGCACTCGGCAGAATAGAAAAGCCGCTCGCGTTGGAATTTGCTTACCGCATTTCAGAACCCCACCGCGATCCGCTGCAGCTTTTCACTCGGCACCTGCTGCCATCGACCTCATTTTTTGCATTTTTTTGCTGAAAGTGCGCTGGTGACAACATGCGGCTAAAAGCTAAACCCCGAAAAGCCACGCGCGCCGTTTTTGCGTCAAGAATAGCAGCAAGACTGCGCCCACGCAAGAGCAATACTTTTAAGGAGAACCCCCCCCCGCTTTCGTCGTATGCAACGAACGTGCGCAAGGTGCGCAACATGTACAAGGTGGCGCAAACGGTGCGCAACGTTTACAACGTGCACAAGCGGGACACGCGGCGCCTTATTGTCCATTTTGTCCCTTAGCCACCTGGGCCGTTGCCGTCGCCTGTCCTTGCTTCGTTCCTGAAAAATACGACCAGAAGAACGCGCCGGATGCACGAACTTAGCTCTTGGAGTCTGTGCATCCGACGCGCTGGGCGGGGCACTTTGCCCCATCTAATGCGCCTGATGCACAAGCTTGAAACTACCGACAGAAAATCACGGCCGAAATTTGCAGAGGTATTGCGGTCGCAATTTTCGGCCGCCAATTTCAGAAGGAACGCGGGGGGATCTGCTGAGCGTAAGCGCCCCAATGTATGCCCCCGCGTTCCCTAAAACTAGCGGCCGAAAATTGCGACCGAAATGCTCAAGGGCATCCCAGTCGCCAACTTCAGAAAGAACACGGAGTGACACGCTGAACGTTGGCACGCCATTAGTCCCACTTTCTTTGCCTGAAATTGACGGCCGAAAATTGCGACCGATATACCCCTGAGCATTTCAGTCACAATTTTCAGAAGGAGCGCGGAGTGACCTGCTGGGCGTAAGCACTTCACTGCCCCCCACTTTGCCTAAAATTCGCGACCAAAATGCTCAGGGGTATAGCGGTCGCACTTTTCGGTCGCCAATTTCGGAAGGAGCGCGGAGGGACCTGCTGAACGTAGGCACACCACTGCCCGCGCTTTACCCAAAATTGGCGGCCGAAATGTATGCCCGGGGGTATTTTGGTCGCAATTTTCGGTCGCCAATTTCGGGAGGGGCACGGGGGCACTTGCTGAACGTAGGCACCCCACTGCTCCTACTTTGCCTAAAATTATCGACCGAAGCGCTCCGGGCTATTTCAGTCGCAATTTTCGTTCGCCAATTTCAGAAGGAACGCGGAAGGGCCTGCTGAATGTAAGCACCCCACTGCCCCCGCTTTGCCTGAAATTAGAGACCGAAAACTGCGACCGAAATCCTCAAGGGTATTCTGGTCGCGATTTTCGGTCGCCAATTTCGGAAGGAGCGCGGAGGGACCTGCCGAACGTAGGCACGCCACTGCCTCCACTTTGCCTGAAGTTGGCCACTTGTACCATTGTGCCGCCTGTACCGTTGTGCTGTTTGTGCCGTTGTCCCGTTTGTACCGTTGTCGCGTTGCCTCTGTGCACTTTGCACACTTTGCCTACTTTCTACCCGCTTGCACCGCCTGCGCCATGATTGAAAAAGAAGAAAAGACTCCCCAAGAGCCCTGCTCCTACGTGGACGCAGTCCCCCTGCTATTCTCGACACAACAATGACGCTCGCAGCTCGGTACTGTTTAACTTTTGGCCACATTTAAAGCGAAAAAGTGCAACAGATGACGTCGGTGAGAGCGTTCGGCCACCGAATGAAAACCCGCAACGAATCGCAGCGGGGTTATCAAATTCGACAAGCAAACTTCAACACGGCTGGACTTTCTCTGAAGCCAAGCGATTGGCCTTGTTTCTCCTACGGGGGACGGGTCAGCCCTAAGGCGTCTACATATACCCACCCCCCGTTGCTCACAAGCTAACACAATCAATCCCAGGCGCCGAATGAACTCGCTCGGCCTGCTACACGAAGCCACCCGAGCAATGTCTGACCTAAGCAAAGTGCCAGCCCGTCGCTGCTGCCGATCGTTTTCTAGTGCTGCTGAGTAGTCTCCTCAAGGGTGCAGCAGTGCTGGGCGCGCCCAGTCTGGCAATGACTCGTAGGGAAGCACATAAGCATCGCGAAGCTGGCAGTTTCCGTTTCGCTCTAAAGTACTGGACCAGTTACTTTGGTGCCCTGAGCTCTTTCGCGTGGCCCCTTCTGCGCCTCCGTTTGGTGAAACACTTGCCGCGCGGAAATTGGTCTGCCCGCTTCATGACAAGCCAAAAAGCGCAGCAGCATTAGCAGAGCAACCGCCCACCCACTGCGCTTCCGTCGACAGCTGGAAACCTGCAGACCATCACACGCGCCCAGGTCAAGGTCAAGCGAATAACAAGCGAGGCCTAAGAAACTCAGAACGAAACCTACCCAGGAGAGCGGCGGGACAAAATCAGCAAAGACAGCCACTGAAACAGTCCCCGTTAACATCTTGTAGCCCATGTTTGCCACTTTTAAGCTCGTTGCTCGTAGGTGACTCAGCAGGATAAAGTCAAAGTTGCCGTACAAGAATGCCATGGCGCCTGTCAGCAAAAGGAGCTTCGCAAAAGCAGCAACTGTCAGAAAAATGGCAGCGGTGCCTTCCCCAATCACCAAGAAAGGTACTGACGCGACTAGTGACCAGCACCCGCACAGGCAACGAGCCTCAACTGGGGTGACGTGGTCGTGCCTTCTTACGTGCTCCAGCATCACCTTCTCCGCCACATTGCATAGGCAAACCAGGCATGTTACTGACAACGCCAGAGGCGCTCCATCCATTGAGACACGGCGGCCCGCGTCCTCAGCCGAGACGAAGATCACCGCTCCGAGGCAAATTGTGCACAATGCTACTAATTTCTGCCAAGTGATCCAATGCCGATACGCAACTAGTTCGAGCGCCGCCGTGAGCAAAGGCCCAAAATTTCTGATGAGGACGAAAAGTGGGATGTTTACGATCTGCAGCGCTCGCAAACTCAGCACATGGCAGGCAACGAGGAGAAGGCCACACGCTGCAATAGATGCGTGGGAAATCCAACGCAATCTCATCAAGTCACTCAGCTCCGGCCCTTGCTCAGAAGCATGCCATCCGAATAGTTTGCTTACAAACGAGTCCCGTACTGCTCCACCTTTCTCCTGGAGACCACGCCTGGCCACCGCTTTGAAGTAGAAGTATGGCAACTGGAGAAGCAAGACCACGACATTTTGAAGGACAAGCACCGTCCAAGGAAATGCACAATTCCGCATAATCTCCTTGTTAAACAGAGTCAGGCCCACCGACATGGCGCCATGGATTGGGAGAGCAAAGCAAACCCGTGGGTGCATGCATTCCGTTGACAATTTAGGACCACCCACGCAGCCGACCATCATCATGGTGCATACAATGGGGCTAACGAACTACGCACACCACCCTATGCACATGAGAAACATGAGCCAGATCTTCACACTGCTAAAATGGACACCACCTGCCCATTCAACGCCGGCAACGGTGCGAAGCCCGGCCTGCCCCACACGCATCAGCGTACTTTCAACTAAGCCACCACTGAACAAGAATCGCAGCCGCAATAAGATCCACAGCTACCCGCCTGCCCGGACAGATAACAAGAAGAAGGAGCTCGCAGTATGGTATATGGGGGCGCACGTTTACGTTACCAACAAGGGGCGTTCTGGGCGACGGCGCAGGCACCACCTGGCTGCACAACATCGAATGAAGACGAAAGAGATTAGAAAACACCCACGCGCCCCAACATCCAAGCAGTTTGCTGTAGGCTGTAAGAGGCGGGGCCGCGCACACATTGAATGCTGACTGCAGGCAGAAACCGGCGACCCCTGCAGCTGTGGGAATGCTACAACAAGAGAACTATCCTGACTGGCCTAGATTTGGCACAGACACATACACAAAGCAAGCACATCGATCAGCGCAGTCAGCCAACGCACCTGTGTCCGACTGTGGACACAAGGCGAGCAGAGTCGCGGGGAGACCTCAACAGTCCGAGTTGATGCACTAGATCACCGGGGGCATGATCATCGGCCGACTTGCGTGCTTGGTGCGTCGGCTTTTTTCGCTCAATTCTTCAACTCTCGTTTTGGCCCATGCCTGCTGATGCGAGAGCAAGTGCTCCGCGCTGAGGTAAATGCCTCAAAATATAGGTGAAGCACGATGGTGCAAGACTCGCAAACCCACCGAGTGCAGCGCACTGGGGCACAAATCCCAACTCAGGGACGGACTTGAACAGTGACGCTCTAGCTCAAGCAAAAAGCACCCTTATATGTCAACATGTGACCCATGATAAAAACGAAGGCCATTGGTCAAACCGATCGAAGAGGCTGACAAAACAAATTGTCAGAGAGAGCAAATGTCGAAATGAAAATGTGAGAACGAACGTGCAAAATTGTGACTGTGTGGGAAGTTCTTGGCACTTTTATGGACATGCGGAACGAGGCTTGACTTATATGATGACTGGGCCGAGATTGCCGCTCCTGGCTGGCATGATATCGCCAGAGTCGACATCTTCGCGAGCATGAAAACGATGAAGCTCAGCAAGTCCGACCACGTGTGGGATCAACGGCGCAACAACACGAGACAAATCCACAACAGAGCGGATAGCGTGTTCTTCGTTTCGCGTTCGTTTTAGATTTTCAGTCGTTTTAAAGAGTCCGACACCCTGGCGGTCTACCTCAAAAGTTTGCTGGGTCTCAGCGCCCGCAAGTCCCAGCCCCTCAGACACATACAGGCTTCGCAGGCCCCCACCGCACTTGGCATACGCTCGCGCCAGTGGTGTCCCCCGAGCGCCACCCCTTCCCCACTACCGCAGCCCTATCAGGCGGGCGCTCAATGCGAGCGCGAGGGCAAAGCAGCATCAACATGTGCAAAAAAGGCAAACGAGTAGGGCTCACATACAGCGCAGGTAGCTGCGTCGCGCTGACACGTCACCGCGGTTTGGGCCTTTGCGAAAATCGCATAGCCTCCGGCAGACTATGTGTGCGCCACATGAGAGCGCTTCAGCACAAATATCTTCAAAGCGACTGATGTCTCAGCTGCCTGCTGTTGTGTAGCAGTTTGCTTCCAGAGCATCTCTCCACCATTCCGATGGGATGCCATCTACCCAGTCATGGACTAACGTTTTTGCGAATTGTTCAAATTCACGGCGAGAGAACGCGTCCGCGATGTTGAGTCTCGTACTTTCGTGTTTGTAATATGCCTGCGCACGTCTATCGCAGCATAGGAGGGCCGTACTTGATACGACGTTCATCAAAAGCCCAGACCTTGCCGCCATTTTCACCGCGGCGTAGAGGTGGGTTATATTGTCAACAGCGAAGTCGATAAAAAAGGCTCTCGCGTGCCCATAGACGCGCAGCAATGTATTTTGCGAGGGCCTCCAGTACCTCGATCCGCGGCTCTACTCCCAGGAGCTGTTTCGGTATTTCGTCTTGTTGGATATCCAACACGAATCCGCTCCGCCTCCCGTCTGGCATGACTATGAGCCCTCCGATACAAGGCATGTTGTCTCGGCCCCCATCAGTGGGCGCGTCTGTCCATCCCAGTGCTGCCTGAAGCAGGGCCGTGCACCCTCTCCCATAGCCCATGGCCGGTAGCTTCGGGATGACGGCACGGACGATGGTAATACTTTTCTTTTAGCGCACGGCGCTCGAGTTTTTTGCGTATGAGTGCTTCAAACATCACTTCGCCTAACCACTTATATAGCGGCCTCAGCGCTTCCGTGCCCATCTTCTGCCGCACGTGTTGTGTCGCGAATGTACACAACCCTATGCCCTTCTGGGTGAGCTTGTGCGGTAGTGCCTTACTTCGCAGCGCGTGTAGGATGGCGCCCAGTGCCTGCGCTGTCTTCTCTATGTATTCCGGTGGCAGGGGGGCCCAGAGTGTCACGCACCCCGTCAGCATGGCTGTCCCATAGCTGTATATCAACCCCAACGCGCGGACGCGGTCAGTCTTTGCCGACGACTGGCCGGCCTTCGGCTTGTCAGATAATTCTAGTCCCAGCGTCAAGGCCAATTGGTGCGCAAAGCGTTTGGCTACGCGTATTTGGTCCGTGTTCACCGCAGCGTAGTTCTGGTCGTCGATGTAGGCCAGTAGCGGTCGGCCAAAGTGTGCCGCTACCGCCATCAAGGGTTCCGCTATTCTACAAAAAGCCAGGACGGAAGGTTCTGCTTCTGCCCCCATGTCCAATGTATACGAAATCCAGAATCTGAAGCCCTCCACCCGCGGGTCGTAGCCCGTGAATGGGCTCGAGGTCGGGCCATCAATTCCACAAAGGTAGTATGCGTTGGAGATGTCATCTGACGCCATTTCCGGTGGGTCGCGCGCATATCCCTCACCTTCCGGCGTTGGCTCTAGAGTCACCGGCTCGCTCGCCGCCTTCACACGCTGCGAGAGGCATTCAGCATAGCTGTCGAGCGTGCCTGGTAGCGGCTTCAGCTCAGCTAGCCTCTTCCTCGTTTCCTCCAAGGTCTTCACGATCTCACTCGTGGCCTCCTTCTTCAGTTGCCCCAGAGGGGACGCACGGCAGTCCTCTTCCCGGCCGAGTGGCATGACGCACATTCCGAGTAGGTCTGCTATCTGCCTCGATCCATGTAGCTCCAGTTTTTCAGTGGTCCTGCAGTATTTATTCTTCGCACGCCTGTCGATCAGGGTCCGGACTTTGAATCTCTCCGGCGTGGTTTCGTCCTTCGGGAAGGCCATCGCCGGCATACATTTGAGGCCCTCGAAAGATATTTCCTTATATCGTCCCTCCTTTGTGTCCTCTTCTATCGTTTCAAAGATAGCCAGGAGTAGGCCGTCGTCGAACTTCGGCTCTCCGCGCCTGAGTCGCACAGCCATACTGTAAAACTCCTCTAACTCGTGCTCCTCGAGCGGTGGTCTATGCTCTGCTTTCCATAGGCCAGCGCCATCGCCATTCCCGATAGAGTTGAACCCATGGAGTACTCTTCTCGGCAGTAGTCTATCGGGGTGCTGTATCATATCAGCCAGATGCTGTATCGCCAGGACGTTTCTCGTCCGTTCTGTGCACAGTAATGCCCTCAAGTGGTCCGGCGCTTCCTGTTGGATCTTGAGGCAATTCCGGGCTCTTGTGCTTTCATATAGCCTAGAAATATCCTCTGTCGCCGTTTCCATGCGTTGCATCCACGTTGGGGAGCAGCGTTTCTGTCTCCTCATATTTTCGATATAGAGCCTCCTTTGTCTGATAGGGAGAGGTGGCGCAGAGCGCTCCTCCCCCACTCTTTCCGCGGCGTCGGCCAGCGCATGCGCAGGTCGGTCCTGCATGCACATGGGCACAGGGTGGAGCGGGCGGGCCAAAAAATTTCAACGTTCGCCAGAACGTTTCTTGACAAGAGCAGTGAGCTCACTCACCTATAGAGGCACCGTGTCTGGTATGCTTCAAATGGAATCGGGTGACGAGATGGCGATATCAAGTAGTAGAGTCGCGTAGTCGACTCACTCAAGATAGAACACATTACGCGGGCAACGCCCCGTATAGTGTGTTCTTCGTTTCGCGTTTGTTTTAGGTTTTCAGTCGTTTTAAAGAGTCCAACATCCTGGGCGTCTACCTCAAAAGTTTGCTGGATCTCAACGCCCGCAAGCCCCAGCCCCTCAGACACATACAGGCTTCGCAGGCCCCCACCGCACTTGGCATACGCTCGCGCCAGTGGTGTCCCCCGAGCGCCACCCCTTCCCCACTACCGCAGCCCTATCAGGCGGGCGCTCAATGCGAGTGCGAGGGCAAAGCAGCATCAACATGCGCAAAAAAGGCAAATGAGTAGGGCTCACATACAGCACAGGTAGCTGCCATCCGTACAGGCGATACCCCCCAAAGGTTATCGCGTGACGCCACTAGGACTTCTTAAGAGACCTCAGTGGCGCACTCTGATTCTGTTTAAATCAGCCCACGGTCGCCTGTGCTGGTTTGAGGAGTCCTCTTTCCTCTGTTGCTCTAGGGTCTTGGCTTTCGGTCTGGCCTGCCTTGTGGTCAGCTTCTTCCCATTCTGTAGGGCCCTCCCTTCGGCCAAAAAATCCGAGCGGGATTGGTAGTATTCTAGTGATTTTGGGACTGTCGCTCTTCCTTTGCTCAATAGCAAAGACTCGACAACTTCCATGGCCTCAAGGTCCACGGATGACGTGATCTGTTCATCTCGTGGAGGGCATGGGCCTCCGACTTATCTTTCGGGAAAGAGATGTGTTTACTCGACATATCTCCCAACTCCAGCGCGCCTGGAGCTGGTAGCATTCGATCAGCCTCAGCTTTTGCGTAGTACACGCACGCACGAACAGCATTGAGTCCTTGGTAGACTCGGCGAAGCAACCGGGCGAAACAGTCGACGCATCCATCGACAAGAAGGAGGCCGCCCTGCATAATGAACTCGGTGGCAAAGTAGACGCGCGCGAACTTCTACGCTTTGGGGTCTTCTACCGCCTAGGAGATCCTCTGTCCTCTCAAATGGTCCCCCATGTTATTGGTGGACCGAAAGGATGGAACAGAAGAACCAAGGGCCTACGCTCGAGAATACGAAGAGAGTTTCCAGCTGCAGGGCGAAGACGACAGCCACGCAAAGACGTCACCCGCCGACACAACGACCAACAGCAAGAAAGTCCAACAACAGGAAGAAGCTGGCGGCGCTTACTTTTGTGCCAAGGGCTGAGCCGAAAAGTTTGGCATTTGGTGCTATCAATACTCAGCCACAGAAGCAAAACCGGAGCGAAAGCTTTGCTTTCTGGTGGTAATCCTTGGCAGATACGTAAGCCCTTTGAGAAGAAGAAAGGCAAAGGCAAAGGTAAAGGAAAGCACGGCAAAGACAACAACACATCGACCGGGTGATGGGTAGAACCAGCGCAGCGAGTTTGTCACTTGTGTGGCAAAAAGGGCACACGCGCGCAGCATGTCCTCAGGCGGGAGGAAAGAAGTGAGCAACTTCTTTCCTGGAGCAACAAGAGACGACGAAAATCTTGGCAAAGGCGCTGCCTTAGGCAGTGCTGAGCAAGAAGGTCAAAGAGGAGAAGACCTTGGTAAAGAGGAGGAAGAAAAAGAAGAAGAAGAAAGAAAGACAGAACATCACGAAGAAACAGCTGCGCTGAGAAGAAGGCTCTTCTTAGCTTGCATTTGGATGAGTATTATCCTACACCCAAAGAACAACAAAAGAAGACCGCAGCCAAGTATTTGCAACAAGAAAGCCAAATAAATAATTTGCATTCAGACCATAAAGACAACAACTCACGTAACTTGCAACCAGAACAAAGAAAAGGAGCGAGCTTGTGCTCGGTTTTCAGCGGCACCCAAGAACGAGGCGACCGGGCATCCACTTCAGAAGAAAAGAAGGTGGGTGGCGCTGCTGCTGTCACGAACGAAACAACAGCAGCAGCGTACACGTCGGCCCTGCATTCATATTCAGGACGATGGTAAAGAAGAAAAACAACAACAACAAAACAAAAGAGATTCCGCACCGTTTTCAAAGAATAAAGATTCTCGTCTGCGTTTATGTGATGAGTTAGATTATAGTAAGAGCAACGACGACGGTGAAGATAATGACGACGAGGATGATGGTAGCTGTTTTCTTGGTGGTGTTACCAAGAGAAGGAAAATAAACACTGTGGCCCCCTGCGTTTGTGACAGGGCGTGGCGCTTCGCACCACATGAGTGGCGATAGAAGTCTTTTCAAGTGTGTGCACCCTGCGCAGCGCGTCAAGCAAAATTTGGCGGATAGAGCACCCCCACGCCCCGCCGTGAGAGGTATCCTCGAAGAGAATTCCTTGGGGCTCACGGTTGGCCTTTTCCACCCGGAGCCTACTCGAATGCTAGTGAGTGCTGACGCACTAAACGAGGACGGTTACAGTGTAGCCCTCGATAAACCAGAGCCGCACGCCCTGCGTAAGGCTTCTGGTTGGTGTGTTCCCGTTTACAGCGAAACCTAAACAGGTCTACCTGTGGTAGACGTTGACTTCTACAAGAAGATAGAGGCAGCTCCGGCTAGCCCAGCTAAGGTTCAGGAGGGGGCTTCGGCTTCACTCTCCGCTGCGGCTAAGCTTAGGGCCCGTCAGCAATGTGGACATCTTTTCGCCCCAGTAGTGGACGCCTTTTCTGTAGTCGATAACTGTCACGAGTGCAACATGTCAAAAGTATGGGCTTCTGGCGCTGGTGAGCGGCCTGCTCATACAGTGGCGACCAAATTCAGCGAGAAAGTAGACTGCGACCCTACAGGACAGCACCCCCGTGCTGTTACTGGTGAGATCTGGCCTCTGTCTATGGTAGCTAGGCCAGCACTTTGGCTGGCCAGAAAGCTACACACTGAATGCTAAAGATGAGCGCCATCTTGGTCCCCGACGGTGGATCAGAGACAGCAAACAGATGGAGACTGTTCGTAGTGACAACGAGCCTGCTTTCAAGGGTGGGAGATCTCGTCGGCGTCTGTTTTGTGCAAAACAAGCGCCACCAGTTCGCGCTGAGTATAGTGCAATACACACCCCCTGGCGTAGTGGCATTGTAGAAAGGTGGAAGCAGACTTCGCAAAACACGACCCGCACGAACCTCATCGGAGTCGACAACAGAGTCTGGCCTTGGTGTGCAGAAGACTACGCGCCTCACGTTTATCAAAGACTACCTAGAAGGGACGGAGTGGGCGTCTTTGAGAAACGTTACGGCAGGCAGCCTTCTACGAAGCACTTTCGTCGTTTTGGGTGTTCGTGTTTTGCAAAGATTCACGTAGCAACTTCGAGTAAGTTGGCCCCCAGGGCCAAACTAACGCGGTATATTTCTAGGATATTTATTCGCGCAGCTCATGTTTCTTGGTAGGCGTCTGGAGGGAGGATAGTCGAACAATCCTTGGCGTGAAGTTTTCCACCATTGAAAACAGAACTGCTCGACTTGATGAGTCTGTCTTGATTTCCAACACCGACGACCTGCAACCCGATAAGGAAGGAGTAGCCGCAAAATGTCCCGACTACAAGCAACCTGAAGAAGTAAACCTATCCCCTGAGGATGTTCTTGGTGTTGCTCCTCGGGTGCCTGACGATCCTAGTGTGGCTCCTACCAGATCTGATCACCTGGATAGTGTGGCTCCTGGTGACAAGGGTGACGAGAGTGCACCTGAACAGTCCAAAGGTGATAATGTCGCCGATGGTGGTCCCCCGGTGGATCTTCCCCAGGTGGGTGCGGTGAATGGTGATCCGGATGCGTCAGTGCCCCCAGTAGTAAATAGCCCGTCTTCCCCTTCTCCCGCTGGTAGTACTAACGATCAGCAAGAAGACACTCCTGCCGATTCCCCCCCTGGTGTTGCGAAACGTAAGCGCGGTCGTCCAAAAGGTTGTAAAGCAAAACCATGGTGGAAGAAGCCTGGCCCCAGGCCGACTTCTGTAGCTGCAGCATTTTGTAGAGCGAGCGCCCTCCTGTCGTGTATGTTGGTAGCAGATAGCTTCACCTATGCCCAAGCGGTAGACGCCATAGACGAAATGCAAAGCAACCAATCTGCCCGACATTGGTAAAGATGTGCCAGAAATGCGCCAAAAGTGAATATCTTCACTTTGACGAAACAGAAGAAAGGCCCTACTTGTACACAGTAACGGCGACAAGGTCTGAGGCCCACGAAGGTCCCGACGCCGTCAAATGGTTGGAAGCAGACGACAGGGAGCGTCTAGCACTCGAGGCGATGAAGTGCTGGCGACCTTTAGAAGAGGGAGAGCCCCAGCCAGGAGATGAAGCCGCGCCTAGTGCTAGTGTGGTCGTCTATACTCGAGAGAGGTGTGGCAGGTATAGAGCCCGACTTGTTGCGTTAGGTAATCGACAGAGAGCGTCGATGTGTGGTGAGATCTATTCCCAAACGATCCCTCACGCAGCTAGTAGAGTGCTTCTCTATGACACAGCTGCAAAAGGACACTATGTTAAATTTTTCGACGTAAGCAATGCGCTCGCTAGTGCAGCTCTAGGCGACGAGAAAGCCACGGCAAGACTTCCCAAGCATTGGAGTGACAATCCAAAAGGTGACTTGGTAAGATTAATGAAGTCGCTGCATGGACTTCGAATCGCCCCCCGCAGGTGGTTCGATTGTTATCGAAAATGTTTCGAAGAACTTGGCTGAGAGAGGCGCCCCCGTGAACCCGGCCGCTTTCGAAAAGAAGTCTGCGGTAGCGTCCTCACGTTGCGCGTTTATGTTGGCGACAACCTAAGCAGTGGCGCGCCTGTTGAAGTTGTGAGAAGTGAGATGGGTAAAATTCTCGCTAAGTATCCCGGTAAAGTGATCGATCCCGATGCAAAAGGCGACGGCGCTAAGGTTTGGGACATGTTGGGAGCAGTATTAGGGTATAACTCTTCCCGGCGGCTTTGGTGTACGATTCACATGCATGAGGTGAGGCAGTCGGTCGTCTATTGCGAAGATTCAACATGGCCGAGCGTCGGGCTG